TAGTAATTTGGTTGGGGTTGTTAATTATATGAAGTGTCAATGCTGTCTTTCATTAGTGCTTTTTCTATTCAGAATCGAATGCATGAGAGCATGAAACTCTTTGACAGCATTTGTAACAACAAGTGGTTCACTGATACATCGATCATTCTTTTCCTGAACAAGAAGGATTTGTTTGAGGAAAAGATACGGAGGAGTCCACTAACAATTTGCTATCCAGAGTATCCAGGTGAGATTTTTATTAAGGCAAAACAGAAGATCAAAAGATGTGTGTGTGTGTGTGTGTGTGTGTGTATTATAGCAATTTCATTAAGGATTATAATTACAAGAATAAAAATTAAATTAAAAGATGAAATAATAGAGTAAAAGTTATGGAAAAGAAAAAAAGAAAAAAAGAATACAGGTAGTTTTTGACTTACAACATTGAATGATGGTTCAGGGTTGCAACAGCAATGAAAAAAAGTTATTTTGGGGGAGGGTTTTTTTGGAAAGTCATTAAAAGTGGTGAAAGAATTCCATATGAACCGTGATGGTGCATTCCTCTGAATATCATCTTCGGGAAATAACAACAGCAAAGTTAGTCATTGTGTGTCTTACTTTCCAGGATAAAGTGGTTGGGCACTGTGGGAAGTAAAGTGGACTAGATAAGATGGACTAGATAAGAATTTTGATGTAATTCATTAGACCTGCTCTTACGTTTGTTATCGTTTTTAAAGGTTCTAATACATATGAAGAAGCTGCTGCATACATTCAGTGCCAGTTTGAAGATCTGAACCGAAGAAAAGACACCAAGGAAATTTATACTCATTTCACCTGTGCCACCGACACCAAGAATGTGCAGTTTGTGTTTGATGCTGTTACAGATGTTATAATTAAAAACAATCTGAAGGAATGTGGACTTTACTAAAAGGAAAGAAACAGAGAAAGGTAAATTATGAACTGTGGCATTGCACAAATATTGTCTGTAGCATTGCCAGGCTGTCATATGAATTTGTGCTAATTTTTGAATTTTCTTTCTTTAGATTTCAGGGTGTGGACTGTTTCTTTGCTGCCTTGTGAGACAGTTGCAAGCATGAACAGGACTGGGGAATGAAAACAGCATGCAAAACCTTTGCATTCTTTAGCACAATCTTCTATATTAGGGATATTTTACTGATACAGATGCTGAAGTTAGATTCCAAAAATGGAACTATTGTTAAGTGTGATTTTTTTTATCATCCTGGCATCACTTGGATTGCATAATTTGAAATATGTACAGCTGTTATAAAGTTTTCATCCCAGAACTTCAAAATGTAGCTTTCTTTAATAAGTCATCATTGCTCTATTTTTAAAGTTTTTCCATCAAACTATATATTGATTAAATTTTATTTTATTCGCAATGAATCTTACATTTTAAAAGCAAACAAAAAAAAAACCATTAACTATGCACACAATGTGACCAGATCATGCAGAAAGTATTCCTCTTAGCAGGAACCTTTTTGTTTTTAAAACTTGGTATGGTCAGAACTTGCTAGTATTGCAACTACTTTAAAAGGGCCTTAGAATTCTTATGGTTAAAGCTGTGGCTTACTTCTAATATATACTACATCCACATTCTGCTACCTATACTGTAAGGTTTTCCTCTTCCTTAAAAGGTAGATTTCCTGTAGCAGGTTTAACAAATAATGTGTGGCTTATGGGTTGGGAGGATTTAGCCTGGTTAATGCTGAGTACCAATTTGCTGAATATGCAGCTGGTGTAGCAAGTAAAAATCTGATTCTTATATAGAAATTTCTGAAGTGAGTACCAGTTAGCAAAGTGACTTGTAAAATTCCAAGCTTTGGAGGAGGAGGGGGAAGTATATGCTGCTACAGGGCTACTGTATCAACCACTTAATTGTTGTGTATGTGTTTGGTCTTAAAGCAGTGGGGAGTTTTGTAGACAGTGGAATTTGTTCTGCATTTACCAGGGCCTTTTGTCCTTAAGAGATTTTGGAAATGTACCAACAGCATGTAAATGTGGTGCCAAGTTCCTGTTTGCCATTGTTTTTCTTGTAATGAAAATTAAGCAGAGTAAGGGCATTTCTTTGCTTAACCATTACACTGAGACTCTTTCCCAATTTTCATGTACAGTTTCAACTTGATGATGTAGTTATTGGCAATATTAAAATGGTGAGTTAAAAAACTTTAAACGTTCTTAATTTTATTGGTGCCATTTCTACAAATCCTTGTTAGTTTCTTACTTGCATTTCTAACTTTTGCAAATAAAAATGTTAGTTAGTCTGATTATTTGCTATTGCTAAACTTTTATATAAATAACTGTAGGATTATATTTTGCTTTGTCAAATGTTCATTGGATTGCACCAAATACTCAGGTAGACTTTCCCTCACCAAACAGTTAGTTTTTTCTTTTCTTTTCTTTTCTTTTCTTTTCTTTTCTTTTCTTTTCTTTTCTTTTCTTT